CGCAGCCCCACCACCACCGCATCAACGGTGCGGACCCGTTTGAGTCGCGAAGGATAGGGCGAGTGGCGCATCGCCATACCAACACTCCTCTTCCTCCGCGACTCCACCTCGGCTGCAGCGGTAGAGGGTGCGCGAGTCCCCACTCGCTGCAGTCCACCAGCACACATCCGAAGTGGGCTCCCCAAGCCCACTCGGAGCGGCCACCTCAGGCCAGCCCTTCACCTCGGGCCAGCCACGTGGGTTCCTCTTTGTTCACCGTGGGAGACCAAGCCACGGCTACTAAGCCCCCCGCCACGACAAGGCGGGAACCCGTTCGGGGGGGATGCTGCACCTCTGACGGACCTATTAAGCTCAGTTTCCTTTCAACTCAAAAGGCTGCATCTCTGACGGATCTTTTATTTGGCTCAGTTTCCTTTCGATTCAGAAAACTGCATCTCTGACGAATCAATTTAGCTCAGTTTCTTTTCAAAAGTCTGCATCCCTGACGGATAATTATGCTCAGTTTCCTTTAATAAAAAAATCCCATTTCCATTTGGAATAAACAGCCTATTTTCATGCTTTCCTATACGCTGCGTTTCAAAACATTTAAATAGGCTGACGAATCAATTTTGCTCAGTTTCCTTTTAATGGCTGCATCTCTGACAAATCTATAAAACTCAGTTTCCTTTCAATTCAAAAAGCAATGGATAGTTCATTTCCCAGTGACCATGCGGGCGAAGCCGCGGGTAACAGCTAGTCCTATATAAAAAAAGATTTTACCCATTTATAATACTGTTACGTATGGGGTGAGTAAAATTCCAATTAGTATGAAAAGATGGATGTATTTTTCCACACTCACAGCAAGTTTATAAATACGCAACTGGCTGTCATAACAATATTAATGTATCTACATTATATCAACTAATCTTAGTGAAGTGTGATGGGAGATGGAAGATTTTGCAGTGTCGCTTATCATCGAATGCTTTAGTAGTTTGATAAGCGTTTGCCACCCTTGCTTCCAGAAATATTTATAGGGTTATTGTAGGCTTTCAACTAAGTTTACATCAGACTTCATGTAATCAAAATATTATATTAGTCAGTAAGACAAATTATTTAGAAATCGAAGCAATGGGTGACGAAACGATGTGTAAAACTGGAAGGGAAAAGTACTACTTCATTTGTAAGATATCGTTTTCCTTTAACTGAATGATTAACCGTTAAAATCTGTGTACTATTAGAAAATATTGTTATAGCGAGGGGTTAATAAAACTACACTTAATACAAATTTCTTTAATGTCTTAGGTACATTGTTTCACTTAAAAATAATTTGACGAACCTTTTGCTTAATAATAAAATTACTTGCCAAAATAAAGAAATTAGGAATGTATAGTGCATAGAATGGCCTTAAGGAATAATCCCGACACACTTCGTAGTCTAAAATATTAGTGACGTATCTAGATTGCCGATTGATATGTATGCTAGTAGAAATCAAGAACTAGCCGTGTAGCCTTACAATATACTCGGCGGTTTACTTGAAATCCAGGTGATACAATGGTAGTACGCGGGAGGTCGAGTTGACAACATACCCTCCTAGGTTCAACAAAATATATGTATAATAGGAACGACCTAACTTACAGTTTTCTTTTTAATCATAATAAAATTGAGCAATAGTTTAAAGAATTGTAATTATTCATTGCACTCGACATGATATTTGAATTGAAAGTGCAACAACGCCATCATCGTTCGTGTTTGAAAGCAGCCATTTCAATACATAATGCGAGCTGCATTAGGCATCTTTTATTCTCTTTTGCTAATTCAAATTATATTTTATTTATCCGAACCTTCCTGCAATACTATAACCAGTAACTTTATGAATTTCCTATGATATTGTTTATGTTTTTGGTCCTTCGAGCCAGATACATCGATTAAAGCTAATACTGAATTTGTTTTTGAAAAATTAAGTTTAAAATAAATTAGATTAAACCATAATAAATCGGTGGCGCAAAAGCTAAGCACTGAGTTGCGGTTGTCGTATAGTGCTGAGTCGAAGTTGAGTCGAATCGAATGGCACACGGAACAAGTGTCTTTGTGCAATTTATATTTGTAGAAGGTTTCCACGATAAAGGTTAACATTCTAGTGTTGTTTGGGTAACTAGAATGATACTGGTAAAGAAATAAACCCAAAGAGGAATATAAGAGATAAAAATATAAAACTCCTGAGCTTCATAATATCAACTAATTTCATGAAATAACAAAAAGTAATTATTATAGAATGGATATCGCCTTGTTAAGGATTAAAGACTATAGAGAGATGTAAACATATAAAGAACAAATTTCTAAAGAAGAGTAGTTGTCTAACCTTTCAAAATCTATAACTATGTGCCCCTAGATTTTAGGTTTAAATTAATGAATAAAATTGTCAATAGAGTAACCAAATATTGGTTTCTTATATACTTACGCGAACACTACCAATACTTTAAAAGAATTAACCCATTCGCTGTCCCGTGTACTAGGCACTTATAGCTAATTGCTATTGTCTTACTATAGTGCCCGCGTTAACAACTGAGTCATCGGGCCGTAAATGTCAAAAACAATAAAAATGTGCCACCGATGGGCGCCGAAGAAATCGCAGCGCAAAACCATACTCTCGAAATAGCCAACGTTGAAGTATTTCTACATAAAGCAATAAAGTTAAGGTAAAAAAGTTAAATGTGTGAAGCCTGCAGAAGACCTCCAGGAAACGGATTTGTAAAAAGCTTTTTTGAGCGATAAAGTTTAATCTTTGATTATAAATATACAGGAAGGCGATAGTGGCACAAATAACTCGGATGAAGAAGATAATTTGTAATATAATAAAATATAGATTATAATTTTTTTTTGTATTATTTTATAATTTCAAGATTTCAAACCTTAAAAAATCCATTCATTAAATCTTATTAATATCGACTATCAGCTGTTACGCGCATCATTATGACACTCCATAAGCCAATGAGTGCGAGCGAGTTAAACTGATTACAATGATTTATTGCCTGACGGCTCAGTTGATAACGCGGGCACTGTAGTGTGCCTGAAAACCGGACAAAGTGCTAAATTTTACGGATCCATAAAACTATAATAATTTTATTCAATAAGTAGTATTTGCGTAAATATAAGAAATTATCATTGGTTCACAATACGAACTCCAAATGTGAAATGTCCAATTTGTTTTTAATCTAATATAGACTACACTATACTAAAAGGCACGGTTTATTAGTTTTAATCTTAAAACCTAAAAAAAAAACCTAGTAAATTTCTCAAAGATTGTAATAAAGCATAGCTTAATGAGTTGTGTTACATATTCCATTCAAAACATTAAACTGACTGTATGTGAAATTAGTTTTATTTTGAAAATAAACAAACCTTTTTTACCTTACCCTGTCGGTCACTAACCCGTCACTTCTTTCTACAATCTAAACGTAGTGCACACACACTATGCTAATCATTTAAAACACCCGTACAACTACACATACATAAACTCATTTTTTATTTATTTACTATTATTTTAAATCTATAAACACATTAAGAGGATATCCAGTTGGCGTTTAGTCCTTACTTATCCCATGTTTTCTCTGTGGGTAATGGCACTAGAGGATATTAATTTTTTTTTATAATTTTTTTAAAAATTAATTATTTTAAAAACTGGGCAGCCTTTTATTTCTACAACATAAAAATAAGACAAAAACATAAATACATAGCCGCAATCATTATTATAATATTCATGAAAAAAAAAATCGGTTGAAGCAGAAAACAAGTGAATACTGAATGACAATTTTGACAATAATTCTTCATATTACGTATAATCAGTCCGAGGCTCCGAGCTGCAGTTTTCTCTCTCTCTCTATTGTCTGGCTCCGTCGTGTGGGCACAGCGAGACAGCAAAAGATTCAAGTTTCTTGTTCCTGCAGCCCGGATATTCTCATAAGTAGCCGGTTTTGTGTTTATGTTGGCACAGATTTGACTTCTTCAGCCTTGTACACTATAATTATTTTCTTCTATAGCAAATTTTGTAAATAATCGTTGTCCAAAATAGTAAATTAGTAATTACGTGACACATTTTAAAAGTTTGAAAAAATTGCTTTATTGATAAATTGTGTACGAATAAAACACACATTGGTGGTATTTTGGTACATATTAATACACAACAAGAAAATTCTACCTATACGTACGTAATATATACAAGTAGTAAAATTAAAAATTTGTACAACTAACTTCAATATAAAATAACTGAAAACGTCATCAATGTAATCGAAATCTATTAAATACACATTATTAAGGATAATTAACAAACTACTTGTCATTTATATGGGACCATACGAGAAGCACCAGCTGTGAAATAAAAAAAGAATCATAAAAATCGTTTCACCTAGAAAAAAGTTCTGAAGTAACAGACATAAAAAAATCGGAGTACTCCTTCTTTTTTGAAGTCGGTTAAAAGCTAAATAAAAGACTTGATAAGGCCAAACTAAGTAGCATTATTACAATTTCTATGGTAATATGCATTTACTATGTAATTATAATTTTAATGTCAATTCCTGAATTCCCAGATATTGAATGTCGTTATATATAATCGTTATAGTCGTTATAGTGTGTTTATTACCTGCCATTTTTATATTATGGCATGAGGCTCGAAAAGTTTTTGCATAGTGTGAATGCCATTTATTTGTGATCTGTATATCTGCATAATTTTGGCATGCAATTTTGAAAAAATATGTCTCCGAACCTAATTTGTATTTTACTCATATCTGTTTATAACCTTATTCCATGCAAATAAGTCATTATCATTATAAATTAAAATGTAAACGTATATCAACAGAAAAAATTAAAACAAAAAATCGCTATGTAACATATACTATAGTAGACTAGTCAAATCACCACCCGTTCCTAAACATTAACTAGTAGAGAAGAAGTACTACAAAATTTTCCTTTGCCTTTGTTTTCCTAATTCCTTTAAGTATCTGTTTTACCACAAAGTGTCTTTTTATTTATAATTTACTTCTAACGGTGTCCTCTAATGTGTACTCGTTGAATGCCATATTGCTCAACGCGAAGATGTTCTGCGGGTCCAAAGTCTTCTTAGCCGCTAGTAGAAGTTTGACGCCTGGCTCGCTAACTGTCTGCTTGTACCATTTTTTTCGCAGCTTACCCACGCCGTGGTGATGTGAAATTGAACCTGAAGTTTCATATTTCAATTACAAGTCGAGGCACGTAAGTCTAGCGCTGAACGAAACGTGGAGGGGATAGCTGCGCATGTCGTATCAGTACGGGGGACGGAATGCGACTGGGGAGCCAATCAGCGCGTGCGAACGATACGTATGCCCGCCCCGAGACTACCGATGATACCTTACTTTCGACTTATGCGCAATAACGGTCACCGCTAGACTTTCCTCCGCTGCTTACTTAAGTCCCTAACTTAATGTATGGTACTGAAAAGTGGATGCGGCAGAAGAAGCACGAGAGTAGAATAAATGCTGTAGATATACGGTCACCAAGGAGTATGTTAAGAGTGACTCTGAATGACTATCTCATTGTGAATTGCAAAGCTGGCATGGAGAAGAAGTTTTTCGACCAAATTGGCGATGTCAGACTTATCACTAGATCTCTAAAACTATACACCCGATTGCCTTCAAATTTAACACTTACTTATTTCGCAAAGTCTAAAATCAACTAAGAACGGATTTCATGATATACCCATCAATATTTTTTCTTGATATTTTACGTCTAGGTCCCGCAATAAAATATTATCGTACGCCCAGCGAAGTGAGCGGTTATCAGCTAAGAATATGGACGAAAGAGTACCCTTAACCGGCGAGCATGTATGCGTAGGTCGGTCGGTCGGGATCGTCACAAATGGAATTTACGTAGACAAAATTCATTGTTATGGAAGAGCAGGACCAAATGGCATAAGAATGAAATTGAAATGACATGAATTTTTAAGTGAAAAATTTCGACAATTGATAGAATCATGACTTAGCGGTCAAGTCTTTTGCGGAAATCCATTGCAGATACCATCACACTTCAGTAATGAAGGATAAGATTATTAGGATAAGATTATGCGACTATATTATTCGTTTTATAATGTAATGTAATTTCAACGTGGTACTGCCATGCCATACAGCGATATTATGGTTGTAGCACGAACGGGTCGGATCGACTGGGGTAGGACCACGCTCGCACAGAATGCCAGCGTAAAATAGCAGCTTAATGAATAGCAGTGAATGTAGAGAACCGGAGACCTTTTTAACTGGAAACGAGGCATTGTCTCTTAGTCGTCAATGGTGACAACGCATCTGCATTTTGATTCTTAATCGAGGATAGATATGGATGTTGTTGGGGTGGTAGACATTCTTACACCGTCCCTACGCGGTAAATGATGGTAATAACGATGGAATAATGCACCTCCATTGGCCAGGATCTCTTCTCTAGCCGCTTCCTCGATCTCCTCGTACACAGTCACGGCGTCGCTGCACTCCGAACTATTGAACCCAAAATAGAAATAGATGCAGCAACCCGCGTCGTAACTGAAATGATAAAAATACAATATACTAGCTTGCCAGGCAGACGTTGTTCACCTTGTTGTTGCCCTTCTCGACGACCCTTTGTCATGTCTTATTAAAAATCCTTAAATTCGCAGAAAAAAATTGTGGGTCACTCATGGGCAAAAAAACTATCCTATCTCTCAAGTTGGGCCAAACTGCACACGGTGTGCAAATTTGATTAAAATCGGTTAAGTAGTTTAGGAGTCCATCGCGGATAAACAACGTGACACGTAATCTATATATATTAAGATAAGTCAATTTCTTCTTTTTCATATATACATACCTATGTATGCCTTCACGCCTGTAACCCACAAGGAGTTAGGCAGTGTCTAAAGAGCTGCGAGTTGCTCGGATCACATTTAGCCTAAAACTATGGTTAAAAGGAATGATACGAGTAGGTGGCTAGCCCATTGCCTAGACAATCACAAACTCAATATTTCATTAGTCGTCTTTACGGTATGCTGGCCAAGTAACACAGTCGTCACCGTCTATTTCATTATAAGCCCCACATTATCATGGGGTCTATAAGTCCCAGACCAACATGGGGTTTCTTCATCGAAATAAAGCGTTCAGTGCGAAACATGGCTTGAAACACCTTGTCCATGTCTCGCCTGCGGTGCGGCAAGGAAAAACATAAACTTCTCTGTTTTGCGAAAGGCATAACTTCTACTTGGATCAGTGTAGGAAAGAGAAAAATATATATCTAAGATGTGCTATTGATGCCGAGTTCTGTGGTATACCTACTATAATACTGATTTCTTAAGCCTTGTGCCGCATTGAATAAATAAAATTTTAATACAGTGCGGAAGAAGGTTGGGTACACCGTGTATTACCGTGTACCTTGTACCGCACTCTGCGCTAGCTACATGTGGCCAGTGTTGTGTATCACATTCGAGACTGCGCACGCGACTTCATACAAAACAAAAACAAAACACATCATCTCGTTTCAAAGAATAGGACATGTGTCGAATGTGTCCCTCTTTCAAACATTCTAGATGTTTCAGTAGAAGAGGGCCTATATAAGACCGGTATAGACGGCGACCATAGTCAGTATTGAATTGGCAATACAAGCGAATACTTCGAAGCGATACAACTGTGAATTGAGTTTTATTATTAGTATATTTTAAGTTGTAATTAGTGTTCGATAATTAAAGTGTCAATTTTGGTAATTCAATCGGCAGTTTTTATTGTCACGAACCCTAAGCTCGTAACATTATGGAAAACTCCGTACCTTCTTGCCAAGTCGTCAGGTTGACAAAAAAGTGAAGTAAATTCTCACTGAATACACTGGGTGCAAAAATATTATTATTAGACCTGTTTTAATGATAAGCACCCATAAGTTTGACCAAATAAACTGTACTAGCAGGAAAGATGCAAGTCTAAACTTCTTGGTTATTTAAGACTTATTAAGTGTAAACATTAAGATATTTTAAAACATAGATACCTTTTTCCCTGTTATAAGAAAAGTCTCACTTCCAAAGTGGATACTACTTATCTTTTTTTATATAAAAATACAATCAAAATAAAGTTTACCGATATTGTTAATCACTAAAGTTTATAAAATTGCATTTATTGAGTACAGTACTGAGCGTATAAGATCCCACATTTTATATTACCTACAAATTGTAACCTAACTAACCCAACCACGGGCGGTGGCAGATTTAGTTGTATCAATTCATTATTAATAATGATAAAGACAAAAATTCATGTTTTTTTAATTAATTTTACGCCACAAAAACGATTTTAGGGCCACCTAAGGGCGGCGGCGTTTAACATGCGCTCTGCCGCCACAATGTCCGGTTTAGGACTAGGTTCAAAACGCCAGAAGTACAGTAATGGAAAGTATAGATAAATCAGAACCGCTGTGAACGTGTTGAAAAGTCTACTAGAGGAAACGGGCCTTTATTAAAATATTTTATAAGCCACCCGACCAAGCGCTCCCCGCTGAGGGGCGGGGAGTGCTTCAGATGTGCGAGTATGCTGCACATAGGACAATCATAACTGGTTTTACTTTTTGATAACGCTTGATTTTACTACTATATTTTTCATACCGTGCGTTATATGTGAATTGATTCTCAAGGAGAAAACTCCAAAAATAGGTGAAAAAAGGTGACTAACGTCTGTGTGAGGCGGCAGGAGATGAGGTAGTGAGTGAGGCGACGGCGCGCGCACTCGTCACGCACGCGCCGCTTGGTGTTGCGGCACAGCGCCGCCGCGCGCTCCCACGACACCGACGTCTCGAACGACTCCGCCACCACATCGTACTCCAGTGCCAGGTCCTACCACACAAACAATACTATTTGTGCACGCTGCCCGATATCCGACACAGGTTTCACCGTGAAAAACTCTATATAGTAATAGGTAACTCTGTCTATTAGATAGACAATAGAGAGTAGTAGGTAACTCTGCCTGTTAAATAGACGAAAGAGAGTAGTAGTTACACTGAAATCGTAATTTACTCTGCTTATTAGATAAACTAAAGAGAGAATGTAGAAGCACAAATCAAATCATGTTACTTCATAAGTAGTAGGTAATTCTGCCTATTACGGGGGTGTTTTTTTATAGGATAGGATGACAAACGAGCACACAGTCCACCTGATGGTAAGTGGTTGCTGTGGCCCATAGGCATATACATTTATCCTCGATTACGATTCAAAATGCAGGTGCGTTGTCATCCGTGAGGACTTAGGTGGAATGCCTCGTTACCAGTAAAAAGGGTCTCCGGTTCTCCACACTCACCATACGAAACACAGCAGCATCAAGCTACTATTTGACGCTGGTATTCTGTGAGAGCGTGGTCCCTCCCCGGCCGAGCCGACCCATTCGTGCTACAACTATACTACAAATATAACTGCAGCATGGCTCTACCACGTAAAAAAGGTAAAAAGGTATTGAAAGTTCTTAGAAAATCAAAAACTGAACAAACTAGAAAGTTATAAGTTTTATTATTCTTTTCAAAATAGTGTCCATTTACAACAATATATCGCTGCATCCGATGGAACCGCTGAGAAAAGCACTCGTCACTCAATTGCACACTCGTCTTTATGGGTCTCTTCGGTGCATTTTGAGACACAGCCACTGCTTCCTCGGCATCATAAAAATGTTTTCCTCGAAGTTTTTCTTTTATTTTCGGGAATAAAAATCGCAAAGTGCGAGGTTGGGACTACAGGGCAGGTGACCCAGTAATTCTACGTCTGACGTTGCCAAGTGATCAATTGTTTATTTGACGGTGTACGACAAGGCGTTGTCGTGGTGAAGGACGATCCTACTGCGAGATCGTTTCTCCCGTACTTTTTCTAAGACAAGTGGCAAGCAATTGTTAGTGTACCACTATGCAGTAACTGTTTTTCGATCCTCTAAAACTAATTAGGTATTGCGTAATGACCTGTCCTTCCGAAGAACGAGGTCACCATCTTTTTTCCCACACTTCGACTTCTCTTCACTTTAGTTGGCAACTCCTCGAAAGGAAACACCCGGACAGCAGACCGTTTCTTAGTTTCCGGATCATAAAAATAAATCTAGCTTTCGTCACCCGTAAGTATGTCGAACACAGCATTTGAGTAATCTCCGTCAAATCTTTGAACCATTTCACGACATCAATGAACACGACGGAATTTTTGGGTCTCTGTCAAATTATGAGGTATCCACCGGGTACAAAGCTTTCTGACCGCTAAATGTTCATGGAGGATTTTGTGCACTTGACTCATACCGATGCTTAAGCTTTGCCAAATCTGCTGATAAGTCACTCTTTTGTCAGTCTCTATCATACGCCGCACAACACTGATGTTATCTTCAGCCGTTGGCGTAGAAGGCCGTCCCTCACGCAGATTAGTGCGACCACGTTTTAACTCATTAAACCAGTTGTAAACAGTGGCACGAGATGGCGCTTTATCTTGGAAGGCCAATCGAAGACTATCATAACTTTCTTGTTGACTTAAATGACATCGAAAGTCATAAAAATCTTTGTACGAAAATTTTTTTGCGTTAAAGTCATGCTGAAGTGACACAGACAATTTTCAATTTGCCGCCAAATCGTAGACAAATGACAAATTAAAAAAAAATACATACAAATAATATTGGCAAAGAGTTCCATTTTTGAAATTTGAACTTATTTTTTTATTATATTGTTTACAAGCAAAAGAGAGTAATAGGTAACTCTTTCTATTAAATAGACAAAAGAGAGTAGTAGACAACTCTGCTTATTAGACAAAAGAAAGTAGCAGGTAACTCTATATATTAGATCAACAAAAAAGAGTAGTGAGTAACTCTCTGTATTAAATGGAGAAAAGAAAGTAGTAGGTTTTAGTCGTGATACAGCCACGCTATTATTATGGTTATAGCACAGCAACAGAATACCAGCGTAAAATAACATCTCAGTACTGCTTTGTGTCTTAAGGTAAATGTAAAGAAACGGAAACCATTTTGGAACGAATACTGGGAACGAGGCATTCATCTTAGTCCTCAAGGGTGATAACGCAACTGCATTTTGATTCTTAACCAAGCGAGGTGCAGCGTTCACTTCTCATCAGGTGGACTGTGTTATTGTCATTTGTCACTCTAATTCTATTTAAAAAAAGAACATTTTTTATTTGGACTTTGGACTTTGGACAGAGGAGGACAGAGGACCGTGAGGTTAGTAGAAAAGTACAGTGAAGAAAGTAGATGAAAGAGTTACTCCGTCTTTTACATAGATGAAAGAGAGCAGCAGGTAACTCTGTCTATTCAATAGACATTATTATCGACAATTTTCTTTATTCTTACCCGACTTCAAAACAGGAGGAGGATTACAATTTAGTGCATGTTTGAAAAAAAAAATTAAAAATGATTTTACAGTCCACGTGTCCACGATAAGTGGTTACGAGGAAGTCAACAGATGCAATGTTATCTCTGAGGACTAAAAGGGAATGCGTCAAAACTAATTATAAACTGTGAATCGATTTTAAAGATTCTTACTTAACCTATTTCAGGTTATATTTAACGGGTATATCCACAAAAAAATTTGAGGGAAAATTCCACCATTCAGAAAATTCTAATGGTTGCAAAATAAGGAATAATCATTTTTAATTTAATTATTTAAACGACAATGAGATTGTGATATACTTTAATCCACTCAAAAAGGTAAAAAATACTTTTAATAAAAAATCAAAGCCAACTTTCAATAACTTTTTGTATAGAATTAGGGTGGCAAGCGATCACACAGGCCACTTTACATTATAAGTGATCACTTGACAAGATAAGTGGATGCTGTGACGTAAACACATCTACATCTATCCTCGATTAAGAATCAAAATGCAGATGCCTTGTCACCCTGAAGGACTAAGATAGAATAGAATGCCTCGTATCCAGTAAAAAAGGTTCTCAGATTCTTTAAACTCGCCATACAAAACTCATTGGGCTGCTATTTTACGTTGGTGTTCCGTGAGAGCGTGGTCCTGCCTCAGTCGAGCCGAACCATTAGTGCTACAACCATAAGATATCTGCGGCATGGCTCTACCACGTAAATAATGAAATGTTGTTATTTGATGCTGGTATTATGTACGAGCGCAGTCCGTACGTGCGTTTTTTCCGTTCTGTAGGGCCGACTCATGTGCTGCAGCCATGTTACACTGGAGCATGCATGACTTTAACACGTATGAACCAACAAAACACAGAAAAAAAACCTAGTTTTACTTGCTCTGAGCATCAATCTAAGTCACTGTTTACTTAATATTTAATGTAGTTATTAATTCATGTATAAATTAAATTGAAGTGACTGACTTTGATATTGAAATAACTAAACTAAACTGGACTAAGACTTATGTAACCATTTTTAAGAGTTATTACCGACTTCTAAAAGGAGGAGGTATTCAATTCGACTGTATGTTTTTTATGTGTGTTACCTCAGAACTTTTCTCTGGGTGAAGCGATTTTGATGATTCTTTTTTTATCTGACAGCTGGTGCTTCTTGTGTGGTCCCATATATTATATATAATTTAATCAAGATCTGACCAGTAGTTTTTGAGTTATATTTAATTGACTTCGAATACATTGATTCATATTGAAGTTGGTTGTACAAAATTTTTGATTTTACCACTTGTTTCTGTCTGTCCGGGGTAATCTCCGGAATGCTGATTCGATAGTAATGTATATTTACGAACAGATGGAGAGCGATGCCAAGAGCGATTTAGGCTATATCTCTAATTGTAAGAGCAAAAGTGTATGAAATTGGAACGTTTGTAAAGAAATATCCACATTCATTTCAAAGATGTATTGATAATTATACAGATAAAACATTTCCGCATAGAGATGTAACAAGGCTAAATTTTAGAAAATGTAAAACTGTCTTTTATCAGAAGAGTTGTCCCAATATGTGTATAAAAGTATATAATAAAATCCCCAATGATATTCGAAAATTGACATTTAACTTTTTTCAAAAAACATTGAAGCAATGGCTTATTGGCAAAATTGTTTTTATTCCCTAGATGAATTTTATTGTTACATACCAAAGTGATATTTCATATAATCTTGACTTGATAACTGTTGACATGTACACCTTAACTTGACGGTATTTATTATTATTTTTATTTTTTTGGCATTAAGACTGGATCGAATTTTGCATTATTTCTTGTTTATTATTAACGTCTATGTATATGTGTGTTATTTATCTTGTGACATTTTATTCTTAGGTTTATCACGAAATTGTAATTAACCATAGATATTCATAGAACATTTAGGTATATAGCACTAGACCGACAGTTATAAAATTATATATTTGCATGCCACTGGTGAAATATGATTGTATCATACCATATTATTCATCTTGTAACTACCATATTTCTTGCAAATAAATAATAATAATAATTATTATTATTTATCCGAAAATCTTGAAGAATTTTTTGTAAAAACGAAAAATTTATAAAATGAATGTTCTTTAATCATCCCTAGTCTACGTAACGCCACTTTAATAGATTCAAGCGAATTCGGGGCGGGTCGCTTATATTCTTATAAATCACTTACCCTAATTGAAATAATACTAGTTTTTTACGGAATTTATCGCGTATATTTAACTTTTTTAACTTTTTAAATACCCGACGTTTCGAACGCTTTACAGCACTCATGGTCACGGGCAGGACTGAGATGTTCAACGTCCGTATGTCATAGTTAACCGCGGTTACCATAGATTAAAATTTAACTTCTGTTCCGATCTATGCAGTATGAACTTATGGTATCTTGAAGTCTTGCAGTTGTATGCTTGGGTTGGGATTTAATTTTATTTATTATAGGATCCCAAGCAGATGGTAGCACCCAGCCATCTTCTCTATTGAAATTAGGATGTTTTTTGATTTCAATAGCCTCGCGAATCATCCTTGGAAAGAATCGGTGTTCTTTAGCGAGGATCTGCGGTCTATCAAATCTGATGTAGTGACGGGGGCGATCCTGTACGTGTTCACAGACTGCAGACTTCCCGGAACGTCGATTCTTCACATCAGCTATATGTTCTTTAACGCGGGTTTTTATTGATCTTTTAGTTTGTCCTATGTAGGAGAGACCACATTCACAATCAAGCTTGTACACTCCTGCATCTTGCAGAGGGACATTACACTTGACCGATGGTAAAAACTGACCAATCTTCTTCAGCGGCTTGAAGTATGTTTTGATGGAAGCGCGCTTCAAGATGTAGCCAATCTTGTCAGTGACTCCTCTAACATATGGCAGTACAGCAGGTACACGCTCGACTGTGGCCGGCTTCACTTGTTCACTGTGACGTAGGCGCGGGACTCGAAGCTTGTTGTCATGCAAAACTTGCTTGACATGGTGGAGCTCTGCAGCCAGGTGTTTACTGTCACAGATCCCTCGTGCTCTCTGAAACAAAGATTTACCCACGGTAGCTAATTGTGAAGGATGGTGGTGAGAATCACCGTTTAAATATCTATCTGTATGGGTCTTTTTTCACAATGGAGTTAGAGGCAAACAATTCCTTAGCTTTTCTAGATGTGTTAGTAATTCGGAATCCTGATAACACCTTGAGCCCTACTGTGTATAGAAAAAAGACCCATACAGATAGATATTTAAACGGTGATTCTCACCACCATCCTTCACAATTAGCTACCGTGGGTAAATCTTTGTTTCAGAGAGCACGAGGGATCTGTGACAGTAAACACCTGGCTGCAGAGCTCCACCATGCCAAGCAAGTTTTGCATGACAACAAGCTTCGAGTCCCGCGCCTACGTCACAGTGAACGAGTGAAGCCGGCCACAGTCGAGCGTGTACCTGCTGTACTGCCATATGTTAGAGGAGTCACTGACAAGATTGGCTACATCTTGAAGCGCGCTTCCATCAAAACATACTTCAAGCCGCTGAAGAAGATTGGTCAGTTTTTACCATCGGTCAAGTGTAATGTCCCTCTGCAAGATGCAGGAGTGTAGAAGCTTGATTGTGAATGTGGTCTTTCCTACATAGGACAAACTAAAAGATCAATAAAAACCCGCGTTAAAGAACATATAGCTGATGTGAAGAATCGACGCTCCGGGAAGTCTGCAGTCTGTGAACACGTACAGGATCGCCCCCGTCACTACATCAGATTTAATAGACCGCAGATCCTCGCTAAAGAACACCGATTCCTTCCAAGGATGATTCGCGAGGCTATTGAAATCAAAAAACATCCCAATTTCAATAGAGAAGATGGCTGGGTGCTACCATCTGCTTGGGATCCTATAATAAATAAAATTAAATCCCAATCCAAGCATACAACTGCAAGACTTCAAGATACCATAAGTTCATACTGCATAGATCGGAACAGAAGTTAAATTTTAATCTATGGTAACCGCGGTTAACTATGACATACGGACGTTGAACATCTCAGTCCTGCCCGTGACCATGAGTGCTGTAAAGCGTTCGAAACGTCGGGTATTTAAAAAGTTAAATATACGCGATAAATTCCGTAAAAACTAGTATTATTTCAATGTGTAGTGTTCGCGTAAATATAAGAAATCATTACACTTACCCTAATATAAGCGATGACGAAGGTAAGAGTGTATCCGACCTCGCCGTTGGTGGCGCCACCGGGCACTCCGTTGAAGGCGGCCGCGATGGCGTTCAGTTTCTTCTCCCTGTCGGTGACCTGGTCGGCCGTGCCTTCAATCAGCAACGTGACCACACACAGCTTGGCGGGGTCGAAACCCTTAATTTTGGTTATGTAGAACTTTTTCAGTCCTTCGAGCGCGACTCCGCCCCACGACGTTTCCGTTTTGACAGCATACCCAAAACGAAACTGAAAAAATACATAATAACCAATGAAGCAGGAGATGACGCAGCAGCATCTTAAATGTTTATAAAAATCTACGGTTGCCAACCATGCCAATATGATTTTAAGTGGGAGTTGTGGCCCGTAGGCATTTACATTTGTCCTCAATAAAAGATCAAAATGTAGATGCGTTGTCACTCCTGAAGACTAAGGTGGAATGCCTCGTTTCCAGTAAAAAAGGTCTCCGGTTCTCTACACTCACCAAACGAAACATAGCAACATTAAGCTGCTATTTTACGCTGGTATTGTGTGAGAGCGTGGTCCTTCCCCGGTCGAGCCGACCATTCGTGCTACAACCATAATATAGCTGCAGCGTGGATCTACCACGTATAAAATGTTCAGCTGTGGACATTTTATAAGCTGTATATGATTAATAATGAATATCCATATTGTATTATACATACTAGCTGTTACCCGCGACTTCAGCCGCGTGGAATTTATTACGAATGGATTTCATGGATTTTTTTTTTGCGTGGAGCCCCAATCTTAGTCGTAACACGAATGGGTTGGCTCGACCGGGACAGGACCACGTCTCTCACAGAATAACAGCGTAAAATAGCAGCGTATTGCTGCTGTGTTTCGTATGGTGAGTATAGAGAACCGGAGATGCTTTTTACTGGAATCGAGGCATTCCATCTTAGTGCTCAGGGATGACAACGTATTTGCATTTTGATTCTTAATTGAGGATATATGTGGATGTCTATGGGCCACAGCATCCACTTATCAACAGGTGGACTGTGTGCACGTTTGTCACGCAATGTTATAAAAAAAGAACACCAATAGCAAGAGGATATTTAAAAAAATACTTCTGATATGGTTATAAGAGAATTATTTCGATTTTTTTATTACTTCTGATGTAGTTATCTATGAGATTATTTATTATTAAAAAAAGTTAATTGAAAATAATTTCACTTGAACGTCAGTAAGTTGGAATGGATGTGAACAAGATTTCTTACGAAAAACTGAACTAATTACTTTGAGTTTTTTTATTAGCTTTAGACTTTAATCGTGACGTCTCGATGACGGCGGCGGTGGACAATCGTTCTTATTAAATCCTTTTGAATTTTACTATTGTAAACTTACCCGTTCATTATTTTAATTTTTAGGCGTAAGTATAGCCCCTTCGCGTTTAAGGCATGCAAAATTGAATGTGATCAGGTTATTATTTTTTTTATTAATTTATTAATTATTTGACACCTTTTTTCATTCCTAGTAGTCCAAAAGAATTTCGTGTTAATGAAACAGAAACAACTTTTTGTAGCATTAAACGAAATACGTATTTAGGTAATTAATAAAAGCGTACACTTTTGGATTTTCCAAATATTTTATAATTTATATGATGGATAATTTTTATATGACTAAAAAAATCAGCCATAAGTAATAAATTAATGAATAACCGACCCGCACAGCTCCATGCGCCTGAAATTTGGGTAATAGCAAAGTTGGTATTGCTTAGAAGCGGAACTTTTGCCTAAACTAACTGTGCGGTGCGGCTGGTCCTTTAGAATTACATTGCCTACATTTATATCACATTGGTCGCAGATAATACAGCCAATCAGAAATTTTTTCTCTAATTCTATTATATATATATGCGATTTCTTACTCGACAGAGAAGCATTCTATGTCTGTCTCCAAATTTCGAGTATTATAAACAGGCATTGTTAGGGCCGCCACATACTGTATTCCGATTCGGGATTCCGAACGTAGCAAGTCCATATAAAATCAAAGTCCCGTCGGTAGTTTTCCGTTCGAAATTTTGCGATCAAAAAGATAATCCGTATGAGTGTGGCCGACCCTTTCGTTCCGTTAGAAATTTGAATTTGAAAATTATCGAAGTGTGTGACGGGACCTTGATTTTATATGGAATTGCTGCGTTCGGAATCCCGAAAAGGAATTCCGTACGTATGTCCGTCTTAATATTAACATAGAAAAAAAATTTAATTATATTCTGTATAGCAGAAGCGAAAGCGACTTTAAAAACGCATCATAAGGAAATCTACTTTACTTAGTTGGTCTATAACTCTATCATGGGTTATACCAGAATGCCATTTTTATTCCGGGAGGTGAGGTCTCCGTAGTGACAGTGATATAAATGATGGCGGATCGGGTTTGATTCATGCTCTGAATGTTTGTTCACGAATAACTCATATACGTAGATACCTCTACGATCTAGCAGCAGTTCGTATTTTAACTTATTATAACCATTTAAAAAAATGTTTCCGAATCAACAGAAATAAAAAGTTCAAAAGAAGTTCACCTGTTCGTTATCTATAAGCCGTATACTGGAGGGTTGGAGTCGCTGTCTCGCAACTTCTCTCTCGAAGTGGAAGCCCGCCTCCCAATCGGGAAACACGAGCGACCCGTAACGCACGACGGGTGGCAACGGACGAATTTTTAATGTCACCTGTAGTAAAATTAATAATCTAGATTCTATACGTGTTAGGTGGTCAGTACTAATCTTAGTGTATACATATAGCTTGCGTATGTATACTCTAAGGTTCCTAGTGGTTCAACTGTTTATACCTCGGTAACGACACCCAAACAGCCCTCAGAGCCCAAGACAACGTGTTCCCATTCCGGCCCGCACGAAATGCGCGGCACTCGACAGCTTTTCTCCATTACGCCGATAGGTGTCACCATCTGTAAAATAATAGAACTCAGCTATCATGTATCTTTTTTATAGAATCGAGAACACAGTCTACCTGATGGTAAGTGGTTACTGTGGCCCATCGACATTTGTCTTTGAATGATAATCAAAACGCACATGCGTTGTCACTCCTGACGACTAAAATGGAATCTCCGCTAAAATCGGTCTCCAGTTCACTGTGAACTTGAGTTTTGAAGTTTTTGTACTTTTCTTCTCTCTTAAGCTGGTAGACAGACTGTGAGAGTGTGGTCCTTTGCCGATTGAATCGACTCATTCGTATCACAACCATAATATAGCTGCTGCGTGGCTTTGTGAGTAGATACATGTCACACACATACTCATTTATACTATGTCCCGTAAAATTTGTATTAATGCCGTGTGGTGCGAGCGAAATCGATATAATAGTTCCTTTTCGTCTGGTGCGCGTTGTGAGAGGCACCTTTGTGAAACGCCACATAGATCTCATTGCTGTCGATAGATGGCGGTATAATATAATATATACCAGATGTAAGGTTGTAATAAGAGGTAGGATCCCTCGTGTGTCTAGGAGTACGCTTGTGCTGGGACCACTATCTTACCTACTTCTATTACCAAAAACCAGTGCGTACACCGCTGTGTAGACCAGGTCTAAACAGCATAGAAAGCTAGTATAATTACAGGCTGAGACACATTCCATCTTAAGCATTGGTCTCTTGATCGTAACGCACAACGCTGCGGTACGCGGCATGCGGTGTCGGACACAAAATCGTATGATAAACGTGGTCTTTTGTTCCGTCGCAGTATACGTCAGCGGCGAAGGGCAAGCGCGGTGAAGTGGGGAGCGGGTATTCCGCACTGCGCGGCGTCGTTCTCGAATTTGTTTGAAGATAATTTAATATAATTAATCCGCAATTATCCGTCTTTATATATAAATAAAGACAAACTTGTTTCTTCCTCCTCCTCAAGCAAAGCACAAATTTCAAAACTATTGTTCATGTTGACACGTCTGTTTTGAATGTTATTGCCGAAAAACTTATAAAAAGCTTATCTGAATCCTTAACAGAGAGTAAAATTACAAAAAGAAAGCCAAAATCACAACGCACCATTAAACCTTGGATTAAATCTGGTGTTTTAAGGTGCATTAGAAACAGAAATAAAATGCAAATGCAACTGCGTTCGGATCCTCACAATGTAATTTTAGTAATTACCTATAAAAGATAAAGAAATTTCTGTAACAACCTACTAAAAAAACTTAAAAGAAAATTTGAGAGAGAACAATTGAATAAAGCAAATAAGAATTCAAAAATCTTTGGAAAACAATTAAAGAAATAACAAATCTAAAACCTAATAAGACCATAAATTCTGATTTACTAAATATTAAATTAAACCCCTATGATTCAGTTAACCATGTTAACGACTATTTTTCAAACATCGGTAGAAAGCTTGCTGAGGATTTCCAAAAATATGACACCTCTCCCGAACCTGACAGCCTACATAGGCTTAAATCACATTTATCATCATTTGCCTTATTAGAAACTGATCCACTAGAAATTGAAAATATCCTGTCAGATCTTAAGTCAAATAGTGCACCTGGCTGGGATAATATCTCTACTCAGTTTCTCAAGTTTTCTAAATCCCTCGTAGTTCCCGTGATAAGTAATTTGACTAATCTCTGCTTCCAAAAGGGTATTTTTCCGTCTTATCTCAAAAAAATCTTTAGTGATTCCATTGCACAAGGGTGCAGAAATAGATGATCTCAATAACTACAGGCCCATTTCAGTTTTGCCTGCCGTTTCTAAAATAATAGAAAAGTTAATAAATAAAAGACTCATCAATTACCTTGAAAGCTTTAATCTTCTTTCAGATAACCAATTTGGGTTTAGACGCGGTAAGTCGACAGAAGATGCAGTTGTAGCACTATCATCTCATATAAATGAACAACTAGATCAAGACGGTAAATGTTTGGCTATATTTTTGGACCTTAAGAAAGCCTTTGACACTGTTTCTTCTTCGATCCTTGTTCGGAAATTGGAAGCAATCGGTGTAAGGGGCATCCCGCTGAATTTATTCAAGAATTACCTGAGGGAACGTAAGCAACAAGTAAAAATTGGTGACTACATTAGTGAAGAATCACCGCTTACCTTTGGTGTTCCACAGGGAAGTGTACAAGGTCCTTCATTGTTCCTTGTTTATATCAATACATTAACTAACCTAAATTTATTCGACGGTCGAGTATTTTCTTATTCCGATTATACCGCAATAGTTAGATATAAAGGTAATTCTAAGGTTATAATGGATACATCAGATTACAATTTTAAAATACAACAACTTTTGTCGGATGAAACTACTTATCGAAAGGTCAAAACAGACCCTACAACTAATACGATTAAAACAACTAGCGATCTAATTAAGAAATACTCCGAAAAATTGAATCTGGACGTTAATTCGATAATACCTTCATGTGCCAAACCACCGAAGTTGTATGGGTTACCAAAGATACACAAACCGAATGCTCCATTACGTCCAATAGTAAGTCAGATTGATTCGGCCAACTTACAGATTGGCTCAATACTTAGCTAAAATATTATCACCACTCAGAGGACACACAAGAGCACACACTAACAGGATTCATACCATTTTGTCAGTGAGATAAAAGACCTACATCTTACTGACAATGAAACCATGGTCAGTTTTGATGTTCAGTCTCTATTTACATGCCTACCTGTTGAAGACTGCATCTCAATTATAACTAGTAAACTAGAGGAAAATAACATGCCAGCAGAATATGCAGTATAACTAAGATATTGCCTTACATCTGGCTATCTATTGTGCAAGGAAGAGTTTTACAAGCAAGTAGATGGTGTTGCGATGGGCTCACCTGTATCTCCCATTGTCGCCGATATATTCATGGAAGACTTTGAGGAGAAAGCCCTCCTTACTGCACCTGTTACACCAAGGATCTACAAGCGGTACGTAGACGATACTTTCGCAATTTTACCATCAGACAAAGTAACTGCATTTTTAGAACATCTTAATTCAATTTACTATGGAGTTAGAGGCAAATAATTCCTTACCTTTCTTAGATGTGTTAGTCATCCGAAATCCTAATAACACCATTGGTCACACTGTGTATAGGAAAAGGACCCATACAAACCGATATTTAAACGGTGAATCTCACCACCATCCTTCACAGTTAGCTACCGTGGGCAAATCTTTGTTACAGAGAGCACGAGGGATCTGTGACAGCAAACACCTGGCCGCCGAGCTTCAGCACGTCAAGCAAGTTCTGCACGACAACTAGCTTCGGGTCCCGCGCCTACGTCACAGTGACCGAGTGAAGCCGGCCACAGTCGAGCGTGTGCCTGCTGTACTACCATATGTCAGAGGTGTCACAGACAAGATAGGCTATATCTTGAAGCGAGCTTCTATTAGAACATTCTACAAGCCGCCGAAGAAGATTAGTGAGTTCCTACCATCCGTCAAGTGTCATATTCCTCTACAAGATGCAGGAGTGTACAAGCTTGATTGTGAATGTGGTCTCTCTTATATAGGACAAACAAAAAGATCAATTAGGACCCGCGTAAAAGAACATATAGCTGATGTGAAGCATCAACGTTCCGGGAAGGCTGCAGTTTGTGATCATATCCTAGACGGACCCAACCATTACATCAGATTTGATAGACCACAAATCCTCGCGAAAGAACACCGATTCCTACCAAGGATGATACGTGAGGCTATTGAAATTAAAAAAACATCCTAATTTCAATAGAGAAGGAGGCTGGGTACTACCACCTGCTTGGGATCCTATAATCAATAAAATTAAAACTAAACCCAAGCATACCACTGCAAGACCTCAAGACATAGTCAGTTCATTTTGCATAGATCGGTCGGATCCATAAACAATAATTAAAAAAGCTGAAGGTACTCCGGGTTTAACAATGACATCGGGACGTCAGTCATCTCAGTCCCCCGTGACCATGGGTGCTGGAAAGCGCCCGAAACGTCGGGAATTAAAAATAAAAGTAAATAAAAAGTAAAAATAAACGCGATAAAATCCGTAAAAGTAGTTTTAATCAGAACCCTTAAACATTAGGCTACTGTAGCCAAAGTGTTTGTTACCTTTACTTCTATAAAAAATCCCAGTCAAGTCTAAGGATATTCACGATATGAGACGGGGCGACTGATTTTTTTTATAGAATAAGGGTGACCAACGAGCACACAGTCCACCTGATGATAAGTGGATGCTGTCGCCCATAGACATCTACATTTATCCTCGATTAAGAATCAAAACGCAGATGCGTTGTCACCCCTGAGGACTAAGATGGAATGCCTCGTTTCCAGTAAAAAAGGGTCTCCGGATCTCTACACTCACCATACGAAACACCGCAGTATTAAGCTGCTATTTTAGTATTTATCTATTTTATTTTACGCTAGTTTCCCGTGAGAGCGTGGTCCTTCCTGGTCGAGCCGACCCATTGGTGCTACAACCATAATACAGCAGCAGTATATCTCTATTATCTATCCTCTTATACCAATACCACATGAGTAAATATAAAACATTGAAATATTATGGTATATAACATTGAATATATGGTCTACAATCATAAACACCAATAGACCGGTAGTTACCGTGGTGTGCACAATTAACTCTTCAATGTTCCCGTACGTGTTCTTCTTCATGCCGCTGGCCCGCGTGGCGACCCAGCCGCCGAGTGTCGAGAACTCGTATGAATCGGGCTCGTGGCCAACGGTGAAGCCGCGAGCGCGCATTTCGCGCTCCAAGTCTTGACCCACGATACCAGCCTGGTGACAGATAAACAATAAAATTAGCAGCAACATGTGTCCGGGCAAGTACCCGCCAAAACTACATAGTATAAAGTTATCTGTGAGATACAGAGACAGTAAAGAGTGTGCATTAACCAAAATTTATACTTTCATAAGTAACTAGTTGTTCCCAGCACGCGTTGTAATGCCTCTTTATTCGCGCTCTTAATTCGCTCTTTATGTCCAAGGGGTTTCAGGGGCAATAAATCGATCTAGATAGGATTCATTTTTAGAAAATGTCGTTTTATCCGTGTTTTCGGGCAATGAAAAACTGCTACAATATCGTTAGAATAGAAGGTAAATTTTGGCAGCGTATTAATAATTATAAATAGCTCAATTGAGATAATGGACGGTAACAAAGTCGTAGACCCTGGTTCGAGTCCTGTCTTCGTCCGACTTTTTTTAATTATTTTTTTCAAGTTCCCTTCTCTTTTGAGAAAATCTATTATTTCGAGCCTTTTTTTAGTATTTTTTTAAAAACACGAAAATTTAAATTAAACTAATTGTACTCATGATTTTTTATTCAAATAACCAGTTCAGTTTTTTCCATTATGTCGCTAAGATCAAAAAATACTATTCGTATTTCATCAGTATGTAATTTGTATCCAAATATAATTTCCAAAACACACGAATAAAAAAAATACTGAGCAAAGCTCGGTCAACCAGGTACTTTATATTATCATTTTTATATAGATTTGTTTAATAAAATAGGTACGTATATAAACTTGGTAATAGAGGAACCCTGTATATTTTCTGGTGTTGTAAAAACGTACACATTGCCCAATGAATGAATTACTGATTCTATGGAGTCGAGAAACTGGTATCACTAGCTTGTGTTTGTTCCTAGTGTTTACATTGTACTAAAATTACTTTTGTTTTTACGAACATACATTAACTTTTTGTAAATATACTGACAGGCCAAAGTTAATATATTTCATTTATTTAAAATTTTCTTTGACATACTCTCTCGGTTTTGGGTTATAAATAGCTCTTAAAAAGTTTTTAAATCAGCCGCATTTTCCCATAGCAAAATTCCAAAAAACATTATGCTATGGACATAACTGAAATAAACTAATCTAACTGTCTCGATAATAGTGAGACCTCTATTATTTTTTACAGCATAAGCTACAGGGCTTAGCCTGCTTGCTAGATTAGACATATGCCCACTGAAGCTTAGCATCGAGAGTGATGCCACGAAAAACAATAGATTCAACAGGACTCAGTTCTTTCCCATTTTAAACATATTGGTACTCAGATTTTTAACATTCAGTGTCGCAAATTTTGTACATTTAGTTTTAATGCCGTTTAAATGTAGATTTTTAACGTTAAACTAATCACTAAGTTTGATATAGCCTTATTCACTTCGTATTATTTAAATGATTGAAGTTTAAGTTTAAAAATCAGCGAAGTACCTTCAGCAAATAATATTAGATATATGATAATTATCTGCTAATGGAAAGTAAGTCATTAATATAGATTAGAACTAGGATTGGGTCGAGAATTATGCCTTGAGGGACACCCATTAATAATAATGACCTGGAAGAACTTTTACCATTGATAATTGCTTTGTAGAAAGCAATTATTTGTTGTACCTGCTAGATGTTGACACTTGTTGTACCTGCTAGATGTAATATGCTTTACAACTGTGATATAGCAGCAGGTCTGTAGAGCAACACGGCTCTCGCTTGTAAGTGCTAGATGTAATGGCCTGTACAACTGTGACATAGCAGCTGGTCTGTACTGTGACATATCAACAGATCTGTACTGCAATACAGCACTCGCGTGTACATGCTCAGGTCATGCTGTATCATGACTGCAGCATGAATGGCTTGGCTCCACTGGGAAGGACTACACTCTCATGAAATACCACCGTGATGTAGCAGCATAATGCTGATGTGTTTACTCAACACTTAAATATGAAATAATAAGTTGCGATGTGTTCTTGTCACTGTAGGACTGTAGGATCTTGACTAATGTCTCATGGTGAATATAGTCGAAGGCCTAGGAAAGGTCATAAAATATACCCAAAGCATCCTCTGAATTCTCCCATGCACAAAAATATGTTTAACAGTTAGACCAAATATAACCGTCTAAAGAACTGTTTTCTAGTGCAAAATCTGTTGCACTAAAAATGCTCCAGTCTGAATGTATGTCCAAGGATATGAAAAACCTACAAGTCCCTCTATACCTAGTAGTACTTGTCATACTTGTTGACACTTTAATATCTAACGCAAACAAAGAATTGCGTAGAAGCATTTAAATGAACGAGGTACACTAATATTTACTAATATTTATGGACTGTGAAAAGGCCTTTATTGAAATAGGTGTTTAGATCTAATATTGACTGACCTTACAAAATATTGACACTAACGTTGAAGTACAGATAAAGGGCGACATGTTCTTAGTACACATTGCACAATTGCATAGTAAATAGTCATATTCCAGTGGAAAGAAGAAACACAAGTGGTAAGATTAAAAATTTTGTACAACCGACTTCAATATGAATAAAATGAGAACATTATCAATGTAGTCGAAAACAATTAAATACGCATTATTAAGGATAACTCAAAAACTAATGGTCTAATTATCGGTATCGGTTTTGATCGAATTTATACGGGACCACATGATACACAAGCACAGATGAGAAGCATCAAGCTTTCAAATTAAAAAAGAATCATCAACATTGTTGAATCATGAAAAGTTCCAAGGTGACACACAATATATACTATACAAGCGAATTGAGAACCTCTTCCTTTTTTTGGTGGTTTGTAGCTGTTTGGACTTTAAATAAAAAAGAATAAGCATGAAATTATAGGAATTAGAACCTCTTCCTTTTTTTGAAGTCGGTTAATGATAAAATTACGCTTTTATTAATTCATCACCATCATTACATCCCCTCACAAGTCCACTGCTGAACATAGGTAAAGGAATGCAACAAAGCACGGTCCTGAGCCACCTGCATTCATTGACTTCCTGCGTGTCTTATCAGGTTGTCACTCCATCTAGCGGTGGGCCACCCTACACTTCGCCCACCGGTACGAAGCTGCCACTCGAAAACCTTTCCTCACCATCAGTTGTCGGTTCTTCGAGCTATATGACCGACCCATTGCTACTTCAATCTATTAATCCGTTGGGCTATGTCGGTTACTCTGGTTCTACTGCGGATGTCATCATTTTTAAGTCTATCACGCAGAGAAACTACGAACATAGCCCTCTCTATAGCTCGCTGAGCCACCTTGAGTTTTCTCATACGGCAGTGGACTTTAGTAGGTTGTAACGGTAAAATAATATATTTGTTCAATGTGTAGTGTTCGCGTAAATAAAAGGAAACATTACAAAACAAAAAGAAAAACAACATGTGCGCTGTTCACACGCGGTAGAAGTGAAACCTTCAAATGAAATGAAATATAAAATAAAAATATTTCACAGCAAAAGGATTTATTTAATATGATCATTTTCAACAACAAATAAATGTAACAATCATTACTTTTAGACTGTGATTTTAGTTTTCCTTCAAATAAAATTGCCTTGTAATAGCGCCATCTACTTCATTCTATTGGTAAAGTCATTTTATCGAACAAAAATTAACTCTCAAAGTGGTACATAAGATAGGCGTTAGATGATATAAACACGAATAATTTAATATAAATCGATAAGTTATGAAATCGTCGATTGTAATGAAGGGATTATTTAAGATAATTTTATTCAATACGGTTAATTTTATTTATATAATAAATTTGTTAATTTTTAGCTGTTTATTTTAACAGTTAAAATTGTGTATTAGCTATCTTTAAAGCTCTGCACAAAGGAGACCGAAATAATAACAAACACTTTTTTTTAAATACTAACAATGCTATTAACATTACTACAATTCTCACTTCCACTATTGGTAAGCTTAAAAATAATAATCGAATGACAGATTCGAACCCACAACCTTTTGAGTTCGCGGTCCGCACTCTGCCATTAGGCTACTTTTGCTTACTATACTGTATTCTATCTCATTCTCACTCAGACTAAATCCTATAGATACATACGTTTATCTCCTTTTACTGTCGTTTTTTCGTTTCATCCAGTTTCAAATGACAACGATGCTAAAGAAGTTTTCACTTCAAAAAACATTTTAATAATAATCGATTAAAGATTTTATTTATTTTAACTAGGTAGAACTTTTAATCTCAGAATAAAAAATAAACATTTGAGTAATAATCACCTAAAGAGTTCAGAATACAAACAGGAAAACAAAATTCCCACTACGCGAAATCTCGATGAGAAACCCTAATCGTGATTGTACTGCGACGTTGCTGGAGGTAGTAGGTAATTGTTACACCGGGCTTCCAGTCTAGGAAAGCGATGGAGGGATCCCGATTGCGTTGCGAACGGAGATTTCGGGACTCCTCGTATACCCTGATGGTGACCACGAGGTTTTGGCCGGTAGATGACCGGCATAACTTTTCCGATAAAAAGATATGTAGGAAAGCTACCTAGCATTTTAATCCTTAGGGGTGTTAACACTTCCGCATTTTAAATCTTAATCGAGGATAGATGTAGATGATGGGCCACAACACAGCTGTAAAAGACAGAGTTACTTTCGCATTTATAATATTAGTATGGATATTTTTTAAACCATTCGTGAAATCACTATGAATGATAGATGATGACGAGATATTCCAGCTCCTTAAATCGTACCTGTATCCTAGCCAGCAGTTGTTCCTTGTCTATCCACAGTATAGAGTTCATGTCGCTGGTGTCCAACGCGACTATCGGACGGGTCTCATTGGCGGGACACGTGATTGCTCCGGACACTGATGTTCCACCACCGAAGGGAATTATTACGAAATTGTTCCGCGATGCACACTGCACTATTTGCACAACCTGAAATTAATTTGTTATGGCTTCAGATTTTCAGAAATTTGCGAAAGGACAATATATAAATTGAAGGATGAATAGGAGAAGTAAAAGTTAAGTCTAGAGGTTTAAAAGGTGTAGGTATAGCTTCCTGACATAGCTTTCCGGATTTGTAAGCTAAAATGGATATGGGCTGGTTACATCTGCACAGAAGTGACAACCTTTAGAGAAGAAGCGTCATGGATTGGAGACCATGTCTAGGCAAACGTAACGTGAATGTAAAAAAAAAACGAAACGGAATCCCGTATGTGTATGTGGCGGGCCTTTGATTCGGTCGCTTATGTGTCGCGCTGCCTTGGCACGTGCCGCATCTTGACAAAGGTGCTGCCGCGACATCAAAAAATGTGCGAAAATGTGCAAAAACCAGCAGGAGAATTTGATATTTGAAAACAAAGCGCCAAAGGTTCTTTGCTACCTAACTTGTGTTTATTTTTTAAATTCTCATTTTATTACAATACCCATAAAAATAAAATATTTTATATATTATTAGAATAGAAAAACATTTATTTAACAAACACAATAAAAAAATAAAATAAAAGCAAAATAACAAGTGCGCCTCCAGGTGTACCGACACTATCTAAGTGAACAGACAGACTATACATACACACTTTCGAATAACAATCCCTTCCAGTCGGGTAAATATAATATAACTCTACTAACTTGATCATGACTCTCCGGCCATATTACAGCATCGGGTATCCTCGGAAAACTATTTGTTCTTAAGAGTGTCATATCTTTAAGTGTTTGTCCGTGCGCCCTGATAAGTCTATCCAACCCGTCCACACTAACGAGGGCAATATTCTCCAACTCCTTCTTGATATTTGCTGGTAGTCTGTTCTCTGCATACGAGGTCGGTATTTGCGGAATTTTTGGTGGTTTTGTAATGTCTATATTGAAATTTTCTTTCGCCCATTCTATGAAATGCGGGAGAAATTTCCCCCCGATTAAGTATCTGAGGAAAAGAGAAATGGATTACTGATTACAGACTTCTTGTTTTCTCAATGGATCGGAGTATTATTTAATATTATTGTTAAAGGCTATCGGTACCCGTTGGGTCTACATTTTGAACGCAAACTTTTTTTTTTCATTATCATTAATGTCCAGGCATATACGCCTTACGGGCATTGATAATAAAAATTGAGAAATGAAAAGAGTTTAATATGCTCCTCGAGGTCACTGACTGAACCGTGGTTAGATAAATAGGAACATGATATCACGGATGTCAGTCTGAGCAAGATTAGAATGGCTCTCCAGCACTTTAAAAACGGCAAGTCCCCAGGCGAGGATAAAATTATAGCGAAGCTTCTGAAAGCCGGTGGAAAACCGGTACTTGAAGACCTTCAGAAGCTCTTTAATTCCGTCCTACATGGTGGCACTACTTCGCGAGGCGTGGAGCAGAAGTGCGGTGGTCTTGTTCTTCAAGTAAGGTGACAACGCTCTCTTGAAGAACTACATGCGGAATTCCCTTCTGAGCCGAGTCTACGTGCTGTTTTCGAGTCATTACGAGATCATTTCGCATGCAGACTAGACGACTTACAGCCTCCCGAACAAGCTGGTTTCCGAAAAGGCTTTAGTATCATAGACCACATACATATACACTTCGGCAAATTGTACAAGAAACCAGAAGAGTACAATCTGCCACTTTGCCAAGCGTATGTGGACTATGAGAAAGTCTTCGATTCCCTCGAAATTTGGGCGGTGCTACAGTCCTTTCAGCGGTGCCAAGTTGACTGTCGGTATATCGAGATTCGAGATGCTGAAATGCTTGTACAGTAGGACTACGACGGCTATCCGAGTACCGAATCAGGGTGCGAAACTTACCCAACTTAACGGATACAGTATTAACATCAATGTCGAGTACTATTCGATTTGCCGATGATATAGTCCTAATGGCAGAATCGCTGGAAGACCTATGCATTATGTTCAATGACCTCAATAGTGCCTCCCAACGGATAGGTCTTAAGATGAACATGGACAAATCAAAGTACATATGTAACGTCGACCATATAGCTCAAAGAACCGACAACCGATGATGAAAAAGGTTCTCGAGTGGCAGCCTCGTACCGGTAGGCGAAGTATAGGGCGACCCAGTAGATGGGGTGTCGACCTTTTAAGGCATGCAGGAAGTCGATGGATGCAGGTTGCTCAGGACTGTGTTTTGTGGCATTCCTTGGGGGAGGCCTATGTTCAGCAGTGGACTTGGGCTGTAATGATGATGATGATTGTCTATCAGTCATTCAGTTACGGTAGAGATTGTCTAATTAAAATCTGCACACGCCTCCTGTGTATTATATATTTAGTCACATTTACCGTATAATCTGTCATAAATTCTTTATCTGCGCTTCCTTTTTCTTGTGTTTTAGTAGATCTTGTTACATTTATTATATTTGACATAATAAAAGTGATAAAATCTAGAAAAAATACAATGGACACGCGTTTAGTCTTAAATTAGACAATCTCTACTATTTTAAATGTTTTGATTGTATTGTTTGCATTTTATATTTGTAATCAATTGTGCATGTAAAAGTAATGTTAAATAGTTGTTTTCTAATTAAAACGCATTTTAGTCATTTCAGCGTTAATCAGTAATCTAGTTAACATAGTCACTTCTCCACTAATGCTTACTTATACTACGTAGTACTATTATTTATTCTGTGCTTACACCACAGAATATACAACGTGTAACAAAACCCCTGTGATTTCCGTCAACTGCGTTATAATTAGTATTCAAGCGTATAGAATTTTTTATTGAAAACTCGACCATATTTTTTTTAAATTAAAAAAATATTTTGCAAATTGTATCTGGTTTTATTTCCTCTAACTCACACGAGTATCGGTAATGCGGGGTCTTTGACAATCCCCTTACTCCTCGGACAATGCAGAGATAATAAAACCACATACAATTTGAAAATTATTTTTTTTCAATTAAATTTTTTTTTAAATGTGTTTTTGAAAAAAGAATATTTCTATACGCTTGGATACAGATTCTGATAACGCACTTAACGGGAACCACAGGGTTTTTGTTACATGTCGTATAAAAGTAATACGTATAATACTTACAACTAACAACTAACAAAAAAGGACACGCTAAAAACCAAACAGAAGTATAATAATTTATTGTAAAATAAATAAATGTATTTTATTGTAAAATTTTATGCATTTAGGTATTTTAACTTATTCTCATTTATTTCTTTATAACTGAGACAGCGTATCACTCTCAGATCATATAAACAACAGGAGATATGGCAAGGAGGCGTGGCACTTGCGAACGCATCTGGCCGCAAAGCGGCCTGATGCCAGTTTCGGTAATTAGTCGAATGTCAACTTGTGACGTCTTCACTGCTCGTGATTTTTGACAAAATGCCGCGTTGTTCAGCGATTGTTTGCAAAAATAACAGCTGTATTGTGAATTACATGAAAGATGGCATCTCATTTCACACGTAAGTACTAAAATATTAATGTTTTTCTTATTCAATTTATTAAAACAACAAATTACTTCGTGGTACTAGAAACACGATGAAAAACCAAATAAAATGTTTTCATTAGGAACAAAAACCATTGCTTGCTTAGTACAAATCGACCTGTGAATCAGCTGGTCTAATAACGTAATGGATAAGTGTTTTACTGATACTCTCACTCACACGATAGTTTCGTGAAGCAGCCGCTGCCGGCTTTTGTGAGTGAATGATAGCGACAGATGGTTGTGTAGTATGTTCTGATTTATAAAATGCGAGTGTGTGCGCGATTGTGTATCTATTGCTTTTACTGATGTGCATATGTAGTAGTTGGCGCGTGGTAGGGGCCAACTGGAGACACCGGGTTCCGATACATTTTCAACTACTGAGCATATCTCCTTATTTCTTATATCTGGAAGGGTATCACTTAAATCGTATTTTCGTTATATGTATTAAGTGAAAACATTTTAAATTGATATCAAATGTTGTACTAAAGTTAAATATTTAAATTTACTCGTAATGTCCATGTTACACCTATACGGGTAGTTGTTGGGAACACTATGCTCGAAGTTAGCGTAGCTTGGACAAAATGTCTGTTTAGGTGAGTCCAATTTCGACCAAAAGATCAACCGACGAATCCACGTAAGCTACGCTACGTTCGGAAGAAACTGCGACAAATCTTCTTGTCTGATATTCTGCAAAATCTTAAGACGAAAGTGAAGAAGTGTGAAAGTACAACCAGTGCGTTTTGCCAGAAACTGAACTGAACGTGGTCCATTACTGCTAGCCGCATAGAATACTATAATACACAATGTATGTATTATATTAAATAAAAAATTATATCAAATTAATTATGTATATATTATAGTATTCTATGGCTAGCCGTATGAGGAAGTTCAAAGTCTCAGCATGCGATAAAAAGGGCTATGCTCGAAACTGTTCCGCGAGATTAAGTCTGTAACGAGGGAATTCGCAATAGAAGACAAGCGAACGAAAAACGGACAACCAATGGGAAAAAAGGTTCTCAAATGGCAGCCTCGTACTGGCAGGTAGAGTTGGGCTAGTTTCACGATGAAGTGAAGATTTTCTAGTTTGAAAAGGACTATATCATGTTGAGGACTGTTCACAGGCAGATGATAATATTACTGATCGATATGTTATATGACTTCTCTAATCGTTTTATTGTAAAAACGTTTCATAAACTATGTAAAAATAAGTACTATAAAATCATTGTGTTCCGCGAATGTCATAACTTTTGACACATATACGTGAAAAATACCATCAAGCTATGCAAATTTGGATAATTTCAGGGAAAACAAAAACATCGTAATGTAAATTTATGTTCTTGATACATCCATGGTGTATGTGTAAATGCTAACGAAACACCTACTTGTGGTTAGGAGCGTTTCTAGTACACGTAGGATTAGTGATGTGAAATTTAAGGATTAAAAAAAAATTACATTTATTAGTTACCGTGGAATTCTATACAAAAGTAAATTATAGTCATTACAAATAGTCCGAGCTCAGTATATACTGGTTGTAAGTAACTAAAGCTCTCTTGTGCTCTCTCTCTCTCTCTCTCTCTCTCTCTCTCTGGTCTCTTGGTGTTTGTGCGCGGAGATCATTTATGTGAAATTAAAACACTAAAATGCTAATATCAGGGATATGTGTATGGTATATATAGCGTAGAATAGGTAGGTTAGGCAAATTTTAAAAGATCTGAGGATTAAATTTTAACGAAGACATGCACTCAAATATTTGCCTCATCTTATACAAAATTTTATATATGAGAGATTTAAAATGCATCTCACAATCAATCAACAGTCTACGATCTAAGGATATTCGGAGACAATTTTGTGAATTGTTGTATTGACTCTCGATCCCAGTATCGTAACTTTTATTTTTGACCATTGTTGAATAGATAAATAGTTGTTTTTTTTTGGTTTCTTAACTTTAGATATTCTTTTGTCTTCACCAGTAATTTCATACCATTAGCAAATTTTCATACAGTTACAGATATCTGACTCTTAACTATAAAGAGTAAAAAGTAAAGAACTTTGAGGAATTCCTCGTGAATGCAAAGGGGGATAGAAAAAACAGAAATGTAGATTTTAGGGAATTCAAGTTGGTAATGATCGCGTAGGAAATTATCGAAATATTTTTTTTAAGTTTGCAGGTAATGATTTTATAGAAAACCAACCTTGTACATCACTGTCAAATGACAAGGTTATGATATGTCGAGGCATATTTCATTTTAAACGTCCACTTTACTTTGACGTTATTATTTGATTTAGCGATTAGCTGAAGGCTCATCACGGATTGTCGCTATAAATGAGGGCTAAATTATGTCAATGGAATAGAATAGAATTATTATTATTCAGTATTGATAACGATGTAATTCTTATTTTTTTTATATAAAATAAGAGTGACAAACGAGCACACAGTCACCTGATGGTAAGTGGATGCTGTGGCCCATAGACGTCTATATTTAACATCG